CAAAGTCCCCTGAAGACGCTCTCCTCTTGTTTCCAACAGGTGCTGGAAGAAAAAACAAGGAAGGAACAGCGGTGACGTGGAGACTTGCAAGGGGAAAGTGCCTTGTCAGGACCAGCACCTCCTGACCAGGGAGGGGAAAGCCAGGGCCGTGTGTGAGGGAGGCTTCCTGAGCTCATCTGTAATTCCTCTTCTTTCTTCCAGCTCTCACTCATTAAGTGCAAAACAGGAAGGACGGAAATGGAAGCTTATGTCAGCAGACTGTGTGTGGGAGAGGGGTCGGAGGACCACTGCAGTCCGTACCCTGGACTGAGTCCCCGCAGCCTTTCTGAGCTTGCTCCTTTTAGTGAGAGCTGGGACAGACTGGGCCCTGGTTTATTGGGAAGAGTCCTCCTTGCCCTCTCTACCCCAGTTCCTGCCAGACCACGGTCTGTTAGACATGCTGGAGGGGACGCACGTTGCCGCGAGCTTTCACACCCTGCCTTCCCTCTAGACAGTCTAAGTCCTCAGGACAGGGAGGAGCCTTGGAGGACGGGAGGATCACTCTTTGCCTGTAGTTATAACACAAGATCACCTGCTAGAGTGCATGTTTACAAACGTCCATGTAGAAAGTGTAGCAGTAATTCACTTGGTTGAAAACACTGGCTTTGGGTGACGGAGGGAGAAGGGAGGCAGCCCCCCTCGCAAGTCCAGGGGCGCATTGCACAGCCAGGAGCCGGCCACGCCCACTGCGGGCTGGGCAGGAGGCATGTCGCTGCAGAGCGCTGCGAACCTGCCACCCCTATACCTGTGTGGGGTCTGGGCTGCTGTCAGAGCAGGGAGAGTCTGCGCGCTGACAGCGTGAGTCAGACGGAACAGGTGCTCGGCTCAGACAGCGAGGGCATTTGGCGCCGGAGCGAGGCGGTGAGGACGCTAGAGGGAGAGGCACACCCAGAGGCCAGCTGCTAGGCCTCTGCTCAGGCAGGACGGGTTTCCTCTCCTCCTGCCAGCCCCGGGCTCCTAGGGCAGAGCTGGTTTTAGTCATTAACCCGGAGTCTCTCTTGCCCAGGGACAGAAAGCTGTGCAGAAGCAAGACTCCGCCGTTAGCTGTCTCTTAAGGCAACCGATGGCAGAAAAATTCAAGCACAGAGCAAGCCTCAGTGAGCTTTGCCCATGCCAGGAATTACGCCTAGAGAGGAGGATGGATGGGCTGGCGTCCATCAGGCTGAGCGGAACAGTACTTTGGAGAGAAGGCAGACTCTCCGTGGTGGCAGCGCGGCCCAGTGCAGCAGGTGGGCACGGGCGGGGAAAACCCAGGACAGCTGGGCCCCGGCCTTGCGCTCCAGACAGTGCCACGTGGCGAGGGGGAGAAGAGAACTACTGGGGCTGTAGGGAGGCTTACAGATAGCCCTCCCAGGAACGAGTCCTGCAGGAGGCCCTTTCTCTCACTTGTATGCCATGGGATCGATTCTCGGGGGTACAGGAACCCTAAAAGCCCAGGCATCTAATTCCCGAGTTGCTATGATGTGACTGGCTGTGGACTACCTGACAATCTTTCATTTCTTCTGTTTTCTAAAGCAGCTGACCAGGGTAACTTGTGGAAGACTTTGCAGATTAAAGGTCTGGGACCTTGAGGGAGGGCCAGCCAGTCAGCTTTCCCGGCAGGCTCCGGGGGATCAGTGGGGTTTCTGCTGGACCCCGTTTTTTTTCATGAAAGACACATTCTTGCCTTGCCAGATAGGAAAATAAAATGCTTCTGTGAGGTTTGGAAAGGAACCTGGATTACTTGCTTTGCAGAGATCTTTGTGCACGTTGAGGTATTCGGGTGGGTAAAGGCAGGTAAAAGGCAGGCAATCAGGTTTGAGGGAGGCCAGAATGCAGAGCCAGGGGAGCCAGGGCCCAGCCAGGCAGGGAGCCATCCGTGTGCTCTGGCTCCTGGGACCAAGGCCTCTGGTTCTGGGGGAGGCAGCTCAGTCCTCGCTGGGGTGGGTGGGGCTAACTCCCTGGAATAATGAGAAGTTATGAATTATCGTTAGTTTGGCCATGACATCTGGAGAACACTACAGTTTTTGTCGTATGCAACTCTGAGTCTGAATGAGGACGACGTGGTGGTACCACTGTGTACTTTTGTGGATGTGTATTTGCGGACACATAGACGTACACACGCAGGTGTTCTGTACATGCATATGCATGTATATATACACATTTACGTTTGCATTCCAAAGTCATCATTTCATCGAGTCTCAGAGGAAGTAAATCAACTTCTAAAATAAGAGAAGTCAGTGTCACCTCCCAGTGTCTGGGCTTCTCTGTCTGTAAATTGCACTCCCACTATCCATAACAGCTTTCTCACTGATGCTTAAATCGAAGGTTTCGC